ACAACAAAAATAAAATCATTAATTTTATTTCGTCAACACAAGATAGTAATAAAATTAAATGAATTATCTCCCTTTTCATCATCAACGGTTGCTCTTTTGGATCATCGTCAAATTAAAGCTCATCTTCATGGGATTGAAATTCATCTTAAATTGTTGGAACCACGGCTGCACTTTGACGAACGATCACGAAATTGACAGATTGAAGCTTGTACATTATTTTGCTCTCTCTCTTTTCATAGTTGATAATTAGCTACAATAATATACTTAATATAATGGAGATAGACAAGGTGAGGCCCGAACTAGGTCGCTCTCTTAAGACAAATTTCCTGACCCCTTCTCTAATGAGGTGCAAAAGGTTCCGATCGTGTCGCCTATGGGATACAACAGCCCAGCCTATCTCTCCGCTGTAACTTCACTTAAACTGCACGTTCAAGTGAAGTAGAAGCTTACACCCGACACAAAACAAGAGCTCAACATATATGTATATAATATATAGGATATATAATCTTTAGAAATATATTTTCTTTCTTCTTCTGTCATATCCATGCAAAGCCACAATACCTATTTATATAATATATAGTATGACCCTCATATAACCTCAATTTAATATAATTTATGGTGTTTTATGTAGGAGAATAATGACTTTGAAGTTTTCACAATAGTGGTCTAATGACCCTGATAAAAGTGGTTAAAGTCATTATTATATTTTATAATAAAATATCATATTTTTATTAAAATAACCCAACAGAACCTGCCAAAATGACCATAACAGAAAGAACTATGACCCTATGACCCTGTAAAATCATATGCAATTCTAGAAGGGGTCATTAGCAATACACCCCTCCTATAGATAAAAAAACTATTGATATGTCCGTACCATAATTCTTCCTTTGTGAAAACCCCCTAGAATATTTAATTCCAATTTTACCCCTCTAGTACCTATCACGTTTATTTTTTATATTTATCCAGTATTTTCAAAATCCCTATTAATTAGGCACCTAATCCCGCTAATTAGGCTTAATTATTTACTTTCCCTAATAAAACTGCTCCTAACTAAAACAAATTAAAAAAAAAAAAAAAAATCAACCGCAGCATCGTTTTGAAGAAGACGCACATATTAGGTTTTTCCACAAATCAAAAACTGTCAAAAAATCGAAATCCTCTTTTCGAATCTGCAGTCACATTCCGAAATCGAAGATAGTTGGTACAAATCGTCCACCCACTTTCCCATTAGTAGTTGTATTCTGTATTAGTTGTGTTTCGGTAGTCATAAACCAGTGATGTTAAGTTGCGATAGTCACATTCGAATCTGGTTTCTGAAATGAAGAAGAAAGCATCACAGAAGCGTAAACGAAGACCCAATCCTCATGACATTATGCATCTTGACGCCCGTAAGTGTGTATACCTAATTCCTATTTATTTGCAAAGAATTTTTTGTACAATATGGAAATTCCAAAATATAGTTTTTTGTGCCCGTAGATCCAATTTAATTTCACTTTGGGGGTTTTTGGGGGTGATTTATGGTTGCATACACAGAGTTTTTGGGGTAGCATTCACATTACCATCATGACTATATGTGACTATGTTACATACACATTGAATTCATGGTTGTTCCGATTTTATTGAATCGTAATATTCTGTATGTATGCTCAAATTGCAGTTACAACCAATGTTAATGTTGTTATGAATTGTTAACTTTTGCAGTAGAAATATGCTCTGATTTGATTATGTTATAAAAATTTGTAACTAAATTATTGTTATAGTAGTTTTATGTAGTCATGTTGATATGAAGACTTGTTATATGTCTGCATGTTGATGTAATTACATGTATATGTCTGCATGTGTGACCGTAGATCCAAATTAGATCATTTTGTTGTTTTAGAGGGGGTTTACTTTTGTATAGACAGAGTTTTTGGGGAAACAGTCATGTTTGGTATCCGTTCCAGTTTAACTTGTTTTGTATGCGTTGATGTATTATATCCCAGCAATAGCTGTTTGTGGTCTAGTCATATGGATTCATGTTGTAGCCTTGTGTTTAAAGACCTCCACTGATATAGATGAATAATGTTGATTGAGTTGGTAAACTGTTAATTACAAGACAGTTTCTGATTATGTAGTTATATAGCCAAAATACCATCATGACTATATGTGACTAAGCCTGAATATGTAGTTATATAGCCACATTACCACATTAGCATGGTATGAATTTTTAACTTTTGCAGTGGGAATGTGATCTGGTTTGATCATGTAATAAAAACCTGTAATTGCAATGGTGTATTGTTGTAGTACTGTTTGGTAGTCATGTTGGTAGAATGATTTGTTTATGGCTTCATGTGTGTTACATTACTCCAAACATGTAAAAGTATTGATGAATATATGTAGTCATGCATATTATTGATTAGTGTGTAACATACATAAAATTGAATTTTTACAGATGAAACTCGAAAAATGGCACGTCAAGTGCTTGACCATGGTACGTGGACCTCAGAATTCAGAGGGAGCTTGAAGGCAATTGTTTCATTCTTCGAGGATGTAACACTTGAACCAGCACATTACGAATGCTTACGGCGTACAACCTTCTACAACTTCGTACTCCCGTTTGCAAAACACAAGATCACAAAAGATAGTGTGTTGGGTCTCAAATTACAGCCCTGACGATCCTGTGGACATACGACAAAGCAACGCGCACATACTCACTTGGTGGGAAGTCGCTCAGAATCACACCCAATGATTGCCAACTTATATTCGGGATACCTATCGGCATTCGCAAAATTGATTTTACAAAGTCATTTAAACCGAGAGACGGCCTGGCATTACGACGGTTCGCAGAAGATAGTGTGTGTTATTAGACAGAGTTAAAAGTGAAGCTGCTTCAGTGCTTGCAGAGTGAGTCTTTGGTCGACGTTGAAGATGTAGTCCGCCTAATAATTTTGCTCCTCATGTCTACAGTTTTCTTCAACACATCTGCTGAAATAGTTGCATGGTGGATGTTCAAGTACGTGCGAGACATTGATCAAAGGATGGCGTACAACTGGCCAATGGATATAACTGAGTTCCTTCAGCATCAAATACATATTGCAAAGGAACTAGACAAAAGAAAGGGTTGTATTCCACTAATCCTGGTTAGAATCTTATACTTCAATCTTTCATCAATGTTAGACACAAATCATTTACTAAATAAAAAAACGGATTATTCCCGTTGTTTTTTAAAACTGCAGTATTTCATATGCGAGCGAACCAAACTTGTTCAGCCTGTCATAGAAAATGCATTCCCTCGATTCCAGCGTTGGGTAATACAGGAGCTGGCTAATGTTATATCAACTATAACCATAAGAGACATTCAACCCGAGGATGTCAATGAACAACCTTTGGTGCCAACACATACAGAAACTCAAATCCTAACCGGGCATTTAGCCATGGAAGAGAGCAGTGACGATGAAGCCGATGATACAGATGAAGACAGTACATACAGCAAAGAAAGAGAAGCAATGGCTTCTTCTGCACTTCACGAAATCGCCAACCAGATGAGCACCGAAGGTGACAACATCACTGATCCATTCGTGCAAAGTGTCACCAAAATCAGGGAAAGGATTGTCGCTGATAGTGAAACAGATGACGACCCTACTGCTGACATAGATGTCCCTATTGCCGTATGGCTGAAGCAACAGTACAAAGAAATGCAACAAGAAGTAGATAAACTGAAAATGAAATCGAGGCATGCCATTCTCGTGAATCATCCTTCCGACGTCAGGTTACACAGCTAACGAACGAAGCAGATATACTGAGGGGTACAGTCGCAAGACTCGAGTCACAGAAAAAAGCATTGCAGTCGCGTGTGGACAGGTACATTTAAATTGTCATATACAGTCATATCGCCAACATATAAAATGCAATCCCATATTTCTTGGATATTTGGGCCTTTTTAAAAAAATACATTTTAAAGCATAATCAGAGGTGGATTTTGAAAAACATTCATGTTCAATGCTATCATTTTGGTCTGCAGTACATATTCACATGACAATTGCAATATGTATAGTCATTCCTACAGCAACAAATGATTATAGAAGAGGCGGAAGAAGGTGTCGTAGATATGCGCAGGACCATTGTCGAAGCATTTTTACACTGCAAACTCTAATATGTTATTTTATTCTATTTTACTCTTCGAGAATTTCATTTGATTTCTGTTATGCTGACTTATATGTTGACCAGAACACGCTTTGGTTTTTTTTTTTTTTTGTGCTTTCTAGAAATTATTAAACAGACCTGAATGTTTATTATTTCTGATGATATTAGTATTGAAATTTTATTGTTGTTCAGACAAATAATAATTTACAAAGCAATCATATTACTATAGAATGTAAACATATCTATATTTAGGAAACTGTACATGCAGTGAGAAAATATGACTAGTCTGTAACTATGTTGTGCATAGCAGTGGAATTAGCATAATGTATCACAATTATTAGGATACTGTTAAGAATATGACTACTACGTGACTATACTTGTAAGTAATTAGAACATGAAAGTGGGAAACAACATACAGTATAAGGAAAGTTACTTTACAGAACCACATTCCTGCATAAAAAACTCCAGCACGAATGTGACTATTATTTGAATACATTTTGAATAACAGATGAATGGGGATATATGACTGTTATAAGACTATGGTAAGCAAAGCAATAGGCTGAACAATACAGAGGCAGTATGACAGCTATGTGACTATGACTGAATAATATGACTAACGAATATGACTACAAGATGACATCACTTGAAACAGTTTGAAACAGTTTGAAACATTAGTAATGAAATTACATGTGGAGATAAAACAATCAAAAAACTCAGATAAAAACAGTAAGCAAAATAATTTCACGTTAAAGTAACTACATATGTCTTGTGGTGTAAAGAAAATAAAACAGTGAAAATGAAACTTATCCATGAAGAAAAAAAAAACCACACTTAATTCTTAAAAAAAATTAAAAACTGAAAAACAATCAGTACTGTCAACCCCCAATAATGGCCATCAAATACGTCTTCTTGTTGTGGTACCCAATTCGGTTGCACCGACTGCACTTGATCTTCCGTTTGATCTTCTCTCCCTTCGATGGTATTCTTTTTGACTTAGGCATTCCTCTACGAACGTGGTGGTCTAGGGGCCCAACAATCGGCATGTTATTGTCAATCATAGGCTGCACAAACGGCACAACAGGGTGCGAGTAAGTCTCCCTGTACGACTCAATGCGGTAATATTTGTCAAATATTTATAGCCCTCGTTAGTATTATTGAACAACACACAAGCAGCATGAGCACAAGGCAATCCAGCGATGTGCCACATCCTGCACGAACACACTCTTTCTTTTATATCAACAACTGCAGTTGGGTCGCATAGAACCTCGAACATATGATCCGGCGACTTCCTCGCTACCCATACTCTACCTTCTTGAACCAACTGATCCACCTGCTCATGGACTTTGGAGCTAAGCTCCGTTGTCATCGTTGCCCCTTCCTCAGCCCTTATGCTAATATTTATCATTACTTCACCCCTGATATAATCGATAAAATTTGTGATAGGAAAATCACGAGCACCCTTGATCTTCGAGTTCCACGACTCAGCAGCATTTGAGGTCATCTCATTATGCCGATCTCCGACAAAATACGAACATGTCCAGATAGCAAAGGGTAAGTCAGCAATGAAATTATCTACCTTTACGCCTCCATATTCTTTCAACTGATTCAATTTCTGATGGAACTCAATCTTTGTCGGTGCATATGCACAAGCATTGAATTTAGCAACAATGCCCTCTCGGAAATTAGTCGGGCAACCTCTACACTTGTGCAGCAGGTTGTTCTGCAAGTGGAAAAGGCAAAATATGTGTCCACAATCAGGGAATATTTCCTTCACACCGCGCAAAATTCCATGGTTACGATCCGATAAGAATGTCAGCACACGATCTGTTCCAATAGCAGTTTTTAAGTGTTGTAGAAAATACGCCCAGTTGTCATTAGTCTCCTCGTTCACTATTCCAAAAGCTACTGGAACCAGTCTTGAGAAATTGGAAAATTACAATTAGTAATGTAGTCATATATAGTCATGTTAAAACAAAACACAACCTGGGCTGTACCATTTTCATTGTCTTTGCCCAACGCACTTAGATGGATTCCCCTGAGTTTCCCAGACAACAAGATCCCATCAAGAGCCAACATAGGGCGACATGCCTTAAACCCCGACAAACTCCCTTCAAAAGCAAAAAAACACCTCTTAAACTTCATTGATACTGGATCGACATCAAGATGGTACACGCTGCCCGGATTGCTACGCCCAAGCTCTTCAAAATACAAGGGCAAGTACGAGTACGATGTCCTAGCATCACCAAACACATGATGCTTCCCCGCAGGAAGTGCCTTCCAAGCAACAAAATAGCTAATGTCAATGCCATAGTACAATTTGACATTGAGCACGACATCATTCGGGGCCATTTCAGGTTTGATTCTAATTGCATTCATGATCAAAACCGAAATTAAATCAGATGTCAATCTATTTTTGCTCGATGAACTAAATGAAGCTCCACACGTATGATGTTTTTCGAATGTCCTAATATAAAAGAATCCATTTTCCTTCTGTAGCAAGGCATGAATCCTCCACATAGACTTCTTCATCACCCTGTATTTGCACTCTGCCGTAATCGTTGAAGGTTCATTCTTCACATAGTCAAATTCAAATCCAACTTCAACTGCGTATTTCCGCAATGCATCCCGGATATCAACAGCCCCATTCCGAAATCCTTGCCCTACTTCCCTTATAAGATTTCTCCAATTGGCACTCAACAACTGTGTGTTATCAAATGTCAACGCATTCGGGCGAACACCCATGTCGTTACTCAGATAATTACCCATCGAATTGAGTGAGGCAGTTTGTGGTACCCTCGCCAACACTACTGCATTAACGTTGTCCTTACGCTTCACAGTTATCTCAACACGGTCAAGGCCTAGTTGTCGAACCAATGATTTCATATACATTACCTCATCATTGTCACCCAACATGCCCTCTCCATAACCATCAACATTGTATGTCATCGAAACATCCCTCGCATTCAAGCTGCACCAACTCTCTGTCACAAATCCAACAAGGTCTTCATACGCAAAATCAGCTCGGCATATCTTCACCCCAAACGACCCTCCTTACTTCAGGACAACCATCATGTTAGACGACATAATGTGTTCCACTAAAAAAAAATGGCGAACATGACTACTCTGACCTATAATATTCATTGCAACTGCCTAAAAAAAACCCAGAAAATAAACAAATATGACTACTCTGTAAGTTAAACCGCATTATAACTGAGAAATTTTATAATTCAATTGTATAAAATTAAGAACCTCACCAATTACGGTAAAAACTTCGAAAACCATAACAAAACAAAATATGTAATCACATACATTCCAGTGCAATGTGACTACTCTGTAAATCGGTATAAAATGAAATCAGATACGACATAGGCAATGTGACTACTCTGTAAATCGGTATAACGCTGAAATCAAATACGACATATACAAGATGAACCCATATCAATCGAATCAGAACAAAACACCAATAACAAATTGCGAATCAAAAACATCATAATCCATAATCTTAATTACACAAAAAACACTTCCCATTCATGGCTCACCTTTTCCCTCGCAATTTTTCTTCAACACGAAGCACATAACGGTATATAGATGACGATTAGGCACTTCAATCTCGCCCAAAAATATACTTGATTGTGTCTGGTGAAATCACGCTGAAATCACGCTTGAAGATTATGTAGAAAATATCATGTACCTCTACAAAAAAAGGAAACGGTTATATAAATTTATTATTATTAAATATTTGATTTATTTTAATAACTGCTGTTAAGGGTAATTATGTCTTATCTTATCTTAATAAGGGGGTCTCATGAAACAAGATTTAGATATGGGTGTGGGAAAAAGTCTAAAAAGTTAAATGGGTTTTTTTACATAATATTTTCCATTTTAGGGGGGATTTCATATTTCCCCATTCTAGAAAGAATATATATTTATAGGCATTATCAAACAACAGGGCAGACCAAATCCTTTGCTGCTGCTGCACACGGTGATCTCGGACCTCCAATTGCTCCTTCTAAGGTTGATCGTCGTCGTCACTTGCTCAACCGAGAAGAAATCGCTCCAATTGGGACAATTAAAGTGATAGATGGCAAGAATGTGCTCTATTTCTCGAAAGAGGAGGTTGATAAGATGGCAAGAATGTGCTCTTTTCCTCCTTATATGTATAATCGGGAAGCTATATTCTTCCTTGCTTCTTCTATTGGAAATCCACTTGAGTTTGATGATTTTATAGCTGATCGAAAGAAGCTAACCATTGCCCGATTTTGTGTCAAAATTGATCTCTTGAAACCGAGGGTTGAACAAATTCCGGTGATGACTGGCTATGATGATATTGAGATGATTTCTTTGCCGGTAAACTACGAGAACGTCCCAAAATTCTGCACGTTTTGTTCTCACCTGGGTCACTTGATTGAAAATTGTTATATGAATGGAAATGCTAAAAAACCGGATTTTCCACTACCGCCACAACGGATTCCCAAACCCACAGCCCCACCAAAGGAAAAACAAGTTTGGCGACGAGTTGAGAAGAGGAAAAATGTTGATATAGAGGCTGCTCATACTCAACCGGATGTTGCCCCCAAACATGTTCCAAAATGTTCGAAAAAGGGCTGAAAAAATACTTCTAACACCAAACAACCGATGAGTCCAGACCCTATAGCTACTATTGCCGATGATCAAGCAGCTGATTTGGATGATATTGAGGCCTTATCCATGTCCAAAAAAAATCAGCACGTGTCTCCCTCCAAAAAGAACAGAAATCAAGCTTCTAGCTCCCGAACCGCAAAGGGAGCAGCCCTCTCAACCCCCTCTGTATCACCTTCGGCCACTTCGGTGGTCAACGATGTTCCCCTTAATCATGGGGTACACGGACGAGAGGGGTCAGGACTTTCGGCGGGTACGGATCCGATTACACCTACGTCGGCTGCCTTATTTTGCGAACACTATGTGACCAAGGTCCGGCCCACGGCCGAGGAAAATTTGGCCGACACGCCTCCTTTCAATCACCTTGCCATGATCTCTTATGAGCCCTTGAGCCCAGCCACGAGCATACGCCCAGCTGATCACGCTACTCCGGGCTCTATCACTGATGAACCTTCGGCCTCGTGGTGATCGAGCCTGATTGATGCTGAGTGTTGGTGTTTGCAGAATGCCGAACGTTGGCATGCGGAGGAGGCCCACCTTATTGGTAACTCATTCTTTGTCACATCTCGGAAATCTTCAGATGGGTCCCATTCCCCCTCTTCTTGATGTTGGGTAAATTCTTGGTGTGGAACGCAAGGGGGGTAAAAAATAAGGCGACCCAATCCCAGTTGCGCTTTATTTGTCGCCAACATAGAGTTAATTTATTGGTTATTTCTGAACCTATGACTGAGTTTGTGCATGATTACTATTGCCGTCGTTTGGGTTTCGTTGCTGGTTTGCCTAATTGTGCGGGGAAGATCTGGATTTTTTGGGATCACAATTTTCGAGTGGAGTTGCTTAGGGATGAGGTACAATGATTGCATGTTAGATGCATATCTGGTTTATTTGGTGCTCCTTTTGTATTTACTGCAGTCTATGCTAGTTGCTCTCGTTTCGAGCGTCTTGTTTTGTGGAATTCGTTCCGACATTTTTGAGACGATTGGTGACACTCCTTGGATTTCTGGGGGTGACTTCAACTCAATCTTACTTGAGTCAGAAAGGAATAGATTGGTTTGGGACAGGAGACTAGATATGGCTGAGTTTGGTGCTATGGTTTTGGATTGTGGACTTTCGGATGACGGGTTCTCTGGGGCTAGTTCTTGCTATACATGGAAGAGTCCTTCAGGTCTTTTGGAGCGTTTGGACAGGATTCTATATAACTCTGCTTGGCTAGATTTACTGCCTTATACACAGGTTACCCACCTCTCACGGACCAAGTTGGATCATACTCCTCTATTGGTTTCATCGGCTGCTTCTTTATGTAGGCCTCCTGCTTCATTCCGGTTTAGCATATGTGGATCCGCCACGTTACGTTTCGTCAGACTGTGGAACAGGTTTGGGATTTTCCGTGTGCTCAGACGGGGATGCTTTGATTACATACGAAGTTGAGACGATTGAAACAGAAGCTTCAGTGGTGGAATTGGAATGTTTTCGAGGACGTGTTCAAGAATAAAGAGAGGGCCGAGGCAGCTGTTCTAGAGGCCGAGCACATATATGACTTGGATTGATCCCCCGAGAACCGTGCAAATTTGAAAAAGGCCACTGCTGAACTTACTCTCATGCTCAATATTGAGGAGGACTTTTGGAAGCAAAAGGCAGCTTGTAGATGGGCGACTGACTGATGGAGAGAGAAACTCTAAGTTTTTCCACTCATTAGTTAAGAAAAAACGATGTGTCAATCGAATCCACTCTATCTCTCATGGTGATTTGGTTCTCACATCTGCTCAGGAGATCAAGGATTCGGGTGTTGATTTCTCTAGCAAGCTTCTTACCGATGATATACCTAGTTTGCTTCCGGTTGATGAGTCCCTATTTTCCGCTCCTCAAAGGGACTATACTTCAGTCTCTACTCGTCCGTCGGTTGAGGAGATCAAAGATGCAGTTTTTGGGATTTGTCGAGATAGTGCTTCGGGTCCTGATGGGTATTCTTCGCTATTTTATCAGCATTGTTGGGACTTGATTCAGTGTGATGTTTGTGAAGCGATTTGGGATTTCTTCGAGGGTGGATCTATGCCTGCGAGCTTCACCGCTACCACCTTGGTTCTTATTCTAAAAGTGGACTTTCCGACGGCTTGGATAGATTTCCGCCCAATTAGCTTGTGCAACGTGACCAACAAAATTATCACTAAGTTACTTACGAACAGACTGGCTCCTCATTTGACCCACATTATTTCTCCTTCTCAGAGTGGGTTTGTTCAGGGTCGTCTCCTTAGTGACAATATTTTATTAGCACAAGAGATGGTCCACTCAATATCAGTTCGTTGTCGAAATCCGAATCTTATATTGAAGCTGGATATGGCAAAGGCTTATGATAGGGTTCAGTGGCGGTTCTTATTTCGTGTACTCGAGCTGATGGGTTTCTCGGCGAACTTGGTTGATATTATTCGGCGATGTGTTTCCTCATGCCAGCTCTCTTTACTAATCAATAGGGAGCTGACGGGGTATTTCACTTCGTCTCGTGGTCTAAGGCAGGGAGATCCGCTCTCGTCGATTCTTTTTGTACTTGCGGCTGATTATTTTTCGAGACGTCTGGATGCACTATACAGTTGTTGCCCGAGCATGTTTTATTCTACAAGGGGAGGCATCCCTATCTCCCACTTAGCCTATGCGGATGATGTAATGATATTTACCTTGTGCCATAATTTAGGCCTGAAGAAGCTGCGGGATTTTCTCGATCATTACTGTCGGACTTCGGGTCAGTTGATTAATGTGCACAAGAGCACTTTCACACTTGATAGGGCATGTTCTGATGGTCATCTTCGCACTATTTCTCGGATTCTCAGTTATCCGAGAAAGGATCTTCCTATCATTTATCTTGGAGCTCCGCTATACAAGGGGAGGGACCGGGGCAGTTTGTTTCAGACTTTGCTTGATCGCATGCAAGCCAGGATTTCGGGATGGGATCGGACCACTTTGGCTTTCGGGGGCCGTCTTGCCTTGATTCGGAGTACGCTTTCGACTATGGCTTTGCATCTTGTTCAAGTTATTCAACCTCTGCAGTACATTATTCAGCAGATTGAGAAGTGCATGGCCCGATTTCTCTAGGGGATCTTATGGTAATCAGCGCCGGCCTCATTGGGTTGCTTGGGAGACGATTTGTCGGCCAGTTGGTGAGAGTGGCTTGGGGTTGAGGCGTTTGACGGATGTGATTGATGCCTTCACTTACAAGCTTTGGTTCCGATTCCGTGCTCAGGATTCTCTTTGGGCCCGTTTTCTCCGAAACAAGTATTACCGGAATCGGTTCCCATGTTCATCCATTGTGTCTTCACTCTATAGCACGGTGTGGAAGCGCATGTGCCGTGTCTGAGAGCGTGTTCAAGCTCAAATATTTTGGCGGATTGGTCCAGGTCATGTTTATTTCTGGCACGATCACTGGTTTGGCGATGGTCCCATTTCGGGCATTATTGATGGTGGTCGGCTAATGTCAGTTCGTGCTGATAGTAGAAATAGTCCAGAGAATACATTTAATAGTATTGCTCAGATAATAGGACGTACCTTAAGGAATGAGTTCCAACCTTTATTTATAGCTTAGTTGAGATTGTCGGGTCCAAACCTTACTTGAAGGTGATTGGGCCTTGGTGATAATGGTCTTCGATATTGGGCTCGTGGCCCAATATGTAAGGAAATTGTAGGCCCATTGGGTTGGCCCAATTAGGCATATCATTAAGCCCCCCACTCTCGAGTCGATGTGGGGGCCATGTTGAAATGGGTGACATATCGTGTCAAGAGTAAAAATTGTAGTAGTCGATGGTGTGCGAAAATGCGTTGGAGCGTGTGTCGGAGGGGCGTGAAGGCACGTTGGCGCGTAGCGCGACCAAGTTGTCGCGATGTAAGTGATTTGAGTCGTCGGTGTTG